TGAACCTTTTCTGAAAATACTAGCAGCCTGGCCAATTTATTAGATTTTTTTTTTCAGGTTGTTTCCCAAACAGGAAATAGAAATCTTCACAGTGGGGAGATCATAAAAAACATCTGGCAGAAGTGCTACCCCCTCTTCACTCTGTCCAAAAAGAAAAAAGTGGATTTGGGCTATCAGGATTTTTATGTCATTAATGCTAACCAGCACACCAGCAGCATTGGACTGTGTTGACATAGAAACAGAAAAGTGATGGCAGGAAAAAAAACCGAGTGCTCCATCGAGTCTGCCGATTCTTTGGGGTTTTTTTCTTTTTGTACGGTTTGTATTTTTTTTTTTTTTTTGGTCAAGTTTTTTTTCTTTCTGAGAATAGATCTATGTTTGCCCCAAGCATGTTTGGAACCATTTACTATTGATTGGCTCACTAAATCTGCTGGAAGTCTATTTCAAATATCTACTACCCTTTCGGTAAAATAATATTTTCTACGATTAGTTTTGAACTTTCTTCCAGTTAGTCTGAGGTCACGTCCTGTGATTAGCTATGGCCAATCACAGCTAATCACAACAAAAAACACTGAATGAATCACTTTCATTCAGTTAAATGCTTGCCTATAGCAGTGAAAAATAACAAAAAATTTTTTTTTTTTCATATTGTCACCAGTCAATGTCCCTGATCACTGCCACACCAGTTATATGATGACGCTGTGCTGCACTGATGACAATATGTAAAATAAAATGGTGAAAATGTTTTTATTCATTTCTTCATTTTCCGAAATATTATGACAAAAAATTACAACTTCAAAAAACTCGCATTCCTCTTACTAAATACTGCAGACTGTCTACTTTTCAAAAAGGGGTAATTTGGGGGATATCTGTACTGTCCTGAAATTTTTGGTCCTCCTCTAAAATTTTCCTACAGATTAAATAATATACACTAATTTTGAGCAAAATACATTGTGTCCTAAATTTATGAAGAACAATTATTTATTTGCTAAATTTTATAACAGAAACAAAGAAAAACTTGATTGTTTTTCAAATTTTTTGGTCTTTTTTCGTTTTAAAAAACCCCAGCGGTGATTAGATACCACCAAAAGAAAGCTCTAGTTGTGTGAACAAAATGATAAAAATTTCATTTGGGTACAGTGATGACCACGCAATTGTCATTCAAAGTGCGACAGTGCTGAAAGCTGAAAATGGACCTGGGCAGGAAAGGGGTAAAAGTGCCTGGCATTAAAGTGGTTAAATGAAATACCTGCATTAGTTTTCTTTTTTTTTCTCTATTTTTACCTGTGATCTTGCAAATAACACACCTCCTATCTCTGTCATAGGGTGCTCACTCATGCTACTGTATTTATGAATGAGCAGCATTATCTCTTTAGGATAGGAAGTGTGTTAGAACTACAGAACACCTTAGGACAGGAGATAGGAAGTGTGTTATTTGCAAGATCACAGGTAAAAATAGAGAAAAAAAAGAAAACTAATGCAGGTATTTCATTTAACCACTTTAATGCCAGGAACTTTTACCCTTTTCCTGCCCAGGTCCATTTTCAGCTTTCAGCACTGTCGCACTTTGAATGACAATTGCACGGTCATCACTGTACCCAAATGAAATTTTTATCAGGACGATATCAGGTCAAGATTTCTATTATGATCAACAGATAATTTGCACTTATTGAACATATAAATCAAAACGATCTGTTTTTTGAGAATTTGATATTACGTAAGATATTTGTGCATATATATATATATATATATATATATATATATATATAATGGAAGTGAAATTACTATAATGTATATACAGTCATGGCCAAAAATATTGACACCCCTGCATTTCTGTCACATAATGCACCACTTTGCCCAGAAAAATTGTTGAAATTACAAATGTTTAGGCAATCTCATATTTATTTATTTTATTTGTATTGGTATGACACAAAAAAGTGGAGAAACAAAAAGCCATATTTGACACATTGCATGCAAAACCCCCAAAATGAACTGGACAAAATTATTGTCACCTTCTCAAAATTGTAAGAAATAATTCCAAGTTTGTTATGCTCCTGTAATTTGTAATTAAACTCACCTGTATCAATTAACAGATGCTGACAATATATAAATCACACTGCCAAGCAGTTAAAATGGTGAAAAATTGACTCAGCCTTTCTGTTGTGCGTCTCTGTGTACCACATTGAGCATGGAGAAGAGAAAGAGCAGCAAAGAATTGTCTGAGGATTTGAGGACAAAAATTGTGAAAAAGCATGGACAATCTGAAGGTTGCAAGTCAATCTCCAGAAATCGTAATGTTCCTGTGTCCACTGTGCACAAAATTGTCAAGACGTTTACAGCACTGTAACTAATCTCCCTAACGTGGACAAAAGGGAAAACTTGATCAAAAATTGTAATGAAGGATTGTTCGAATGGAGGCTAAAGAAACTCGATCAACTTCCAGACAAATTCAAGCTGACCTTCAGACACAGGGTACAACTGTGTCAAATCGCACTATACGTCACAATCTGAATGAAAAGAGACGCTATGGTAGAAGACCCAAGAGGACCCTGCTGCTGAAACAGAAACATAAAAAAGCCAGATTGGAGTTTGCCAAAACTTACCTGAGGTAAAGTAAAGCCCATAATTCTACTATTTTCAGAAAAAGCAATGAGGCCTTTAAAGAAAAGAATACAGTCCCTACAGTCAAACATGGTGGAGGTTCACTGATATTTTAGGGTTGCTTTGCTGCTTCAGGCACTGGATGTCTTGACCATGTGCATGGCATTATGAATTCTGAAGACTAACAAAGAATTATGGGGTGCAATTTAGGGCCCAGTTTCAGAAAATTGGATCTCCGTCAGAGGTCATGGGTCTTACAGCAGGACAATGACCCAAAGCACATGTCATAAAGCACCCAGAAATGATTTAAGGCAAAGCACTGGAGAATACTGAACTGGCCAAACTGGCCAGCAATGAGTCCAGATCTCAATCCCATAGAGCACCTGTGGAGAGATCTCAAAACAGCAGTTGGGAAAAGGAACCCTTTCCAGTCTGAGAGACTTGGAGCTGTAGGCAAAAGAAGAGTGGACCAAAATTCCAGTAGAGAGGTGAAAGAAACTCATTGATGTTTACAGGAAGCAATTGATTTCAGTTATTTTTTCCAAGGGGTGTGCTACCAAATATTAAATTGAGGGTGCCAATAATTTTGTCCAGTCTGTTTTTGGGGTTTTGCGTGGAATGTTTCAGATTTGGCTTTTTGTTTCCACACTTTTTTTGTCATAGCAATACAAACAAAAAAGAAATAAACATGAGAATGCCTTAACATTTGTAATTGCAACCATTTGCAACCATTATGTGACAGCAATGTAGGGGTGCCAATATTTTTGGCCAAGACTGTATATATAATTTTCTCTTCTGTGTTAATATATAAATACCATAAGCTTTTACATACCGAAATAAGGTTTTATTATTGGCAAAACTTAACCCCCCCCGTCCCGTCACTATTGGGAGCTCCATTGCTCCCTTAATATTTCTCCTCCTCACTGTCACAATCACCACAAATAACATGGCATGTTCTTGTCACACTTGGCAAGAACATGGAGTAATGCATGTGTACCAATCTATCCCACCTGCCCAGCCTGTCAGATGAAACTTGGAAATAGTTCTGCCTTGTGATCAACCATAGGCAGAATCCCTACATGTGCTCAGGGTGAACCTGCTCTCATCTGTGAAAAGCAAAGGGTGTCTGTGGCGAACCTGCCAATTCTGGTGTTCAATGGCAAATGCCAATCGAGCTCTATGGTGCTGGGCAGTGAGAACAGGACCCACTAGGGGATGTCGGGCCCTCCGGCCACCCTCATGATTTCTGTTTCTGATTGTTTGATCATTCGCACCAGTGGCCTGTTGGAGGTCATTTTTTAGGACTCTGGCAGTGCTCATCCTTTTCCTCCTTGCACAAAGGAGCAGATACCGGTCCTGCTAATGGGTTAAGGACCTTCTACGGCCCTGTCCAGCTCTCCTAGAGTAACTGCCTGTCTCCTGGAATCTCCTCCATGCTCTTGAGACTGTGCTGGGAGACACAGCAAAGCTTCTGGAAATGTCATGTATTGATGTGCCATCTTGGAGGAGTTGGGCTGCCTGTGCAACCTCTGTAGGGTCCAGGTATCGCCTTATGCTACCAGTAGTGACACTGACCCTAGCCAAATGCAAAACTAGTGAAAAACAGTCAGAAAAGATGAGTAGGGAAAAAATTGTCAGTAGGCCATCTCCACCTGCAAAACCATTCCTGTTTTGAGGGTTGTCTCATCTAGCGCACCTGTTGTTAATTTCATCAACACCAAAGCAGCTGAAACTGATTAATAACCCCCTCTGCTACTTAACTGACCAGATCAATATCCCAGGAGTTTAATTGACTTGATGCTATACTTTGATTAAAAAGTATTTCTTTAATTTTTTTGAGCAGTGTATATTTATGTAATATTGTGCTTTATTGGCAATGTGGTGCTTAGATTAACAACCAACCCAAAGTGGTTCTCTCTAGATCTGATGGGAAGCTCTGAAATGAGGGGAGCTCTGCTGATTTCTATTATCCAATCATGTGCAAGCAAAAATTCTGTTTTTTTTTCATTTCCTTGGATGTGATTGGGTATTCTTTGCAAAGTGAAGCTTTACCTCATTTACTAAGCTCTGGAGCAAGTGCACTTGCAGTGCACAGTATATTTGCCGTTAGTAAACCAACCCCAATATGTTTGGTATTATAGTTTATTGGGATTTTTATTTTGATAATGTTGCCCATCAGTAACTATATAGATAGAATAAAGATTTATTTATTTTTTTCATATGTAAGAAAATCCATTATCTTTTATTTACTTTGAAACATACTCTACATCTTAATATTTATTTTTAAATGCACAAAAAATATACACTATATTGCCAAAGTATTGGGACACCCCTCCAAATCCATTCAGGTGTTCCAATCACCTCCATGGCCCCAGGTGTATAAAATCAAGCCCCTAAGTATGCAAACTGCTTCCACAAACATTTGTGAAAGAATGAGTCACTCTCAGGAGCTCAGTGAATTAAAGTTTGGTACTGTGATAGGTTGTCACCTGTGCAATAAGTCCATCCGTGAATTTTTCTTTCTACTAAATATTCCACAGTCAACTGTTAGTGGTATTATAACAAAGTGGAAGCAACTGGGAACAATATCAACTCAGCCACAAAGTGGTAGGCCACGTAAAATGACAGAGCGGGGTCAATAGCGAAAGACCTCCAAACTTCGTATGGCCTTCAGATTGGCACAACAGTGCATAGAGAGATTCATGGAATGGGTTTTCATGGCTGATCAGCTGCATCCAAGCCTTACATCACCAAGTGCAATGCAAGCGTCAGATGGAGTGGTGTAAAGCATGCTGCCACTGTACTCTAGAACAGTGAAGATGTGTTCTCTGGAGTGACAAATCACGCTTCTCTGTCCAGCAATTTGATGGATTTGTCTGGGTTTGGCGGTTGCCAGGAAAATGTACTTGCCTGGCTGCACTGTGTCAAGTGTAAAGTTTGGTGGAGGAGGGATTATGATGTGGGGTTGTTTTTCAGGGGTTGGATTTGGCCCCTTAGTTCAGTGAAGGGAACTCTTAAGGCATCAGCATACTAAGACATTTTGGACAATTTCATGCTCCTAACTTTGTGGGAATGGTTTGGGAATGGCCCCTTCCTGTTCCAACATCACTGTGCACCAGTGCACAAAGCAAGGTCCATAAAGGCATGGATGAGTGAGTTTGGGGTGTAGGAACTTGACTGGCTTGCACAGAGTCCCGACCCCAACCCGATAAATGGGATAAATTAGAGCAGAGACTGCAAGCCAGTTCTTCTCATCTGACATCAGTGCCTGACCTCACAAATGCGCTTCTGGAAGAATGATCAAAAATGCCCATAGACACATTTAGGAGAAATCTTGTGGACAGCCTTCCCAGAAGAGTTGAAGCTGTTATAGCTGTAAAGGGTGGGCCAACTCAATATTGAACCCTACAGACTAAGACTGGGATGCCATTAAAGTTCATCTCTGTGTGAAGGCAGGCGTTCCAATACTTTTGGCAATATAGTGTACATTTCTAGCAGGGATTTGCTTTTAAGACTGTTATTCTTACATTTATCATATAAATAAACAGACACCTTATGTGGTTAAGTTGATAAAAAAATACAAAATAAGGGTACGTTTTGGAGCAAGTAAAGGAAAGGATATTTGAGAAAAGAAAAAATCTTTATCAGTATTGTTCCTCAAAAAAGTGTTGATGGGTAAAGCTTTTAAATTACTAGTGCCAATAAACAACATTTAAAAACCAGAGTTTTAACCATTTCCAGCTCTGTCCAATACAAAAAAATACCATTTTCTCTGTAGTAAGGCTTTAAAGTGAACCTTTCATTAAAATGAACCTTTCATTCAAATGGACCTTTGCCCGGATTGTGCACACTAAAGTATTGACATATTCTGACAAGCAGTAGCAGCACTTTAAAACAATCCACCACTCACACCCTCATCTATAGGCATTGTAGAAAAACTATTTTAAAGCACGGGAACTGAAGTGTCAGCTTTTTCTCAGCAGATCTTGGACTGAAACTCACCTTTTGAGTCTTGTATTATTGTGAACTTTGAACTTTGAGGATCTTTCAGAATGAACAACTTCACATTAAAAGCAGTTAGAGAGGTCAAGATTGGCATGTTGTAAAGCTCATTTACTGTGTATGTTTAAAAACTCCACTGACTGAGGTCTCTGCAGGTATCCAAAACTTCTGGGTATGTTGAGTACCTGCTCCCCATTTTCTAAAGAAAAGGTAATTGGCAATTCTTTGGCATGCCAATAGTGATGGGTACCTGCAGTGGCCAGAGATCTGCAAAAAAAAAAAAGAACAGCTTTTAAGACATGGGCTGATGGAAAGGTATGTTTATGCTGGCACTCTTAATGACAGGGTCACTTTAAAAGTAGCATTTGAAACATGGATGCATTGTTTCTGACAACCAATTAAATACCAGCTATTCCACTTCTACTGTTTTCCTAGTGCAAGATGGAAAATGACAGTTGTAGTGTGGGAGGATGCTACAGCAACACAATGGATTTTTTTCATCCAAATGTAGGTTGTCTCTGCTTTTGCCCCTGGGCAGGACAATGGTGACATTAAAGTCAATGGAGGTGGAGTGTCTACTTTGTAAAAAAAAAAAACAGTTCCTGCTGTTATGTAACCATACTGATATGGGGTTTTTAGGCCCAGAGAACTGAACGGGGATGACCAAAAATACATGCATTATACGTATTTGCACATTTTCAGTGCACTCAAAATGTGGTCTTGATAAAAAAATAATAAAGGAAAAGCACAGAAGAAAACAATCAAAAATGAAAATACTTCAAAGCACATTTAAAAAAAATTCACAAAATGGAGATATAATCTCCCATAACATGTGAAAAAGCACATCTGAAAACTGTAAAGAAACTGCATGGCACCAAGGCCACCAAGGGTTTAGGTGGACCTGAACTCAAAAAGTAAAAATTTGCCATCTTATATGGATGATCTAGAAATGGTATTTGTGCTGAAGTGGAACCATGAAAGTTTTACCTTTTGTCATAGGCAATGTTGCCTAACTGCTAGTTTCACGAGATTTGAAGTGAGATTTGATCATGTTAGTACTGTGCTGCTGACGTTTCTCCTGCTGGAGATGAAAGCTGTATCTGTAGTGAAAGGATCTCCCTGCTTCTGTTCTTTTTTTATTCTCTGGATCTGTGTTTCTGCCACCTTGTCTGATCATTTCACCACTAGTAATTACACTGATCAAGGGGGCAATCTCTGTTATGATAAGGACAGGCCGTGCAGGACAAGGCTTGGCAGCTCGGTAATGGGGAAAGATCAGCTGCAGGAAGCCTACAGACAATACGAGGACTAGACTTTTACCCTCTGCTTGCTTTTTGGGCAGAGCTCAGTTCAGGTCTTTTAATGTTAAAAAACACACAAGAATACCGATTCATTTTTGTAAGAGTGTCATCTATTTCTCATTGCAGTTTACCTCTTTCAGAAAACAGCCATTCAGCAAAGAGATAATGAAACCAACCCTGAAAACAACAAACATAGAATTCTTATTTTTTTTTTTTAAACAAAATAAAGTGAAATAAAAAAAAAAACTTTTTTTTTGTTTCTAAAACCCATGATTAAAACCTGATACAAACAGGGTATTTTTTTTAACCCTTTAGCAGTGACTGTCAAGAAGCCTCAAGTTCTGCAGGCTGCCAAAGAGTTAAGCTATAGGTATATTTATATATATATATTCTCATATTTAATTTCTCTCTCTCTCTTTACAGCAATCATTGCAAATATAGAAATTTGTATCTGTACAGTGTAATAGTGATCACAGTTTCAAATGCAGCTGTAAGTGTTCAATGAGAGCCTCCTCAAAGTCTGCACTGGAAGACTCAGTTAAAATTAAAATTAACGTAAACGAAAGGAGTTATGTTCCAGTCCTGTTGCTGTTGTTTAATGTATTTGAGTTTTCTTTGTCCTGCAGAGATGAAGGGAAGGAACAAAATTCCACACGAGTCAAACCACGCAAGTCGGAATATGAAATTACATGCGATTAGGCGTACAGTTCAGACCACTCCCGCTAGCACACTCTTTAAGTCTTTTTTTTGTTGTTGTTTTTTTATATACTTTTGTTTAAAAAAATTGAATTCGTCTTCACAGTTTTAGTGTATATATTTTTCTCTGATTTGGTGCATACTCTCACTTCAGTGAGTTATGTTTTTCTCAGCCGCTTTGTTTTCGTAATATGATATATATATGTATATATATTTTTTTTCCTTTCCGTCCTTTAAGACAGTTTAGAATAAAAATTAGCTGCTGCTAGTTTGATTTTGGTCCTGTTAACCTCTTTTCCACTAGAGCCCTGCAGAGGGCTGTACTCACAATGCTCTGCCGGGCTCTCTGGCTAGGGCAGGGTTAGGAATTCTAAAAGAAAAAAGAAAAATTAAGTCACGGGTAGCTGGAGGCAAAGGGAAGAGGTGAGGACTCAGGACTTGTGCTGGGCAGAGACACCCTTCCAGTAGTCTAAGATGTCATGAAGATCCTCATCTTTGGCAAACTGGACCTTTTTGCGCAGGGCGTGGCCGGCTGCCATGTACTCTTCTTCTTTGTGGCGCTTGCGGTGGAGTTTGAAACGCTCCCAGATACTGTGGGAGGGCTTGCATGTATATTCTGGACTGGAGGAATAGCTTAGGTTGTGGTAGTGAGGTGAAAGTTGGGAATAAGCCAGTTCCCTGGGTCTGGGCCGGGTTAAAGGTTCCAATATTGAAGTTTTACGCACTCCCATGTTTTCATGCTGAGGAAGAGGCTGTTGTTGCTGCTGCTGCTGTTGCTCAGACTGATGTGAGCCTGGATAAGAGTGCCGGTGCTCTGTGTACTGGCGAATCTTTTCAGCTTCTGCTCTCAAGATAGCAGCAGCTGGAGTCACAGTGAGGATGGTGTCAGCAGTTGGGGAAGTCTTCTCAATGTATTTTGTTTCAGATTTGTGTGCTGACCCTTCAGACCGAAAGGATCTGGGGCTGCGGACAGAGCCACTGGAAGATGTGCTAGAGCGTTTTGGTGGCCCTTCCATGCTATGATGCCTTTGTAACGGGTGACTGTAACTATCCTTATATACTGGAGAAAGAAAGCCATGTTTGCTGGGTATCTGTTCTGATATTAATACCAGCTGGGGCTCTGCTGTAGACACAGCTCCAGACTTCACCCCTTGGAATGAAGTGGTTTCTGATTTCAAAGCATCTATACAGTTATTAATGATCTGATTAACTTTGTCCACTTCTTTAGCTATAGTGGATATCTCAGCCACAGAACTCTGTGTATCTGGTGGCATTGACAACTCACAATCCCTTCTCTCAGACTGTTCACCAGTTCGTACCTCCATGTAGTTCCCTTTAGTGGCCTTAGGTGTCTCACTGCTTTCTATAAGTTTGTATTGCTCCACTTCCCCCACTGACGGCAAATAGGGGATGCGTGACATTGTTTCTGGACCCATCATCTGACCTTGAGAAAGCTGACTGATACTGGGGGTCTCCATTTCGGGACCATATTTCAGTTCAATGATCGTTTTCTTCATACTACTACCGGCTTTCTTGTGCTTTTCCTCTTTTTGGCGCCTTTTGCGCAGGCAGTAATACACGATCCCCAGAATGATGACCATACCAAACAGGCAGCCAAGAATAGTCATGATATAGTGAGTGGCGGTGGAAGGCGTAGGCACATGTTCTTGTTTGGTATGGCTGCGTGTATAGAAGGCTATGCAGGTGTGGTTGAACCTGAGAGAATTGCGAATAGATGCGACGCAGTATGTGTAATTTGTATTGGGTTTCAACCCATCCAACTTAATAGACTCTTTTTCTGACTTCAGGTTCCGAATGTCAGTAAAGAAGCTGTTATTATATTGAACCAGGATGTACATTTTGCTGTAAGGATATGGAATTTCTGCAACTAAAACTGCGTCAGAATGTGTTTCTGTGTTTAAATTAACACTGAGGCTGACTTTGGAATTGGCAGGAGGAGTATAGACATTAATGAGGGGTGTAGTCCCATCTCCAGAAAAACAGTCTTCTTCAGAACAAGGACTTTCAGGAGGGCCAGTGGTGGCTTGGTACCTTGGAGATATCACATATGGCATCATAGTATATGAACCGTCTTTGCACAGAGTAGAAAGCATGAAAAGAGCATTGCGGTAGTTGGATCTTCCTTGACCCAATAAAAAGTAACCACTGTAGTCCGGGGGGGAATCGCACTGCATGCGGTCAAACGTACGTGTCATATTGGTAAATATCTCCAGCCACTTTAGGAAGCCCAGAAGCTCACATGAGCAATAGAAAGGATTACTGTACAACTCACACACAGTTAACTTACTGAGGCTTGCAAAGGTGTTACTGTCCAGCCTCTGGATCCGATTCATTGACAAGTCAATGTTCATAATGTTTGGGCACTCCCAGAAGGCATTAGGAGTCACAGTTTCAATGAGGTTTGCTTGGAGGTAGAGATACTCCAACTTGCCCAGCCCCCTAAGAATTCCCTCTGTGAGATTTCTTAATCTATTGTAGCCAAGCTGGAGCACCTGCAGATTGAACTGACCAGCAAAGGCTCCATCTTCAATGTAGGACACCTCATTCTTGGTGAGGTTGAGGTACGTCAGGTTGCCAAAACGGCTTAGTGATGAGTAGTGGACGCTCTTTATTTTATTCTCATTGAGCCGAAGGTCCACAATGGTGCTATTAATGTGCTGTGGTATAGACTCATAAGGTGGCTGGTTTTGACTGCAAATAGCTAGCCAAACGAAACCCTTGTCTCCTTCGATCAGCCAGCAGTCTCCCTGTACTTGTCCAGTATATAAAAGGGCAAATAGAACAAACATCCATAAACAGAGTGCTGGCATTTCTATTCCTTTGTGAACTGCCATTGTAAATTATGCTCCAGAACCTAAACTCCTTGGTATGTTCTATTTTTTGTGAAATAAAGTAAATTATAAAATGAAGGAAAATTTCCCTTTTTTCACTTTTCTCCGCATCTGTACAATAAAAAGTGTTCTGAACATTGAGCGTTAATGTCAGTTCTTGCCAGAGGAAGACTTGGGATGAGTCGAACAGTCTACTCTGTTGGTGTGTTGGAAGCAAATTCCTTGTGCATATTGAAGTCTGAATCTGGAGTCCCTAAAGACGAAAACTCGTTTGCTGGTTGATCTCTAAATATTATTCGGCAATTTGCAGGCCCTTCTTTTTCAGCCACTGGCGTTGCATCATCAAGCTTTTTTTTTTCTTCTCGGTAACTGATGTATTCACAGTGCTCCAGAAGTCTTCCTAAAAACAAAAATAATAAATGTGAGTGTGTATGACTATTTCTTTCTATCTTTCAAAACATTTGTGAAAAATAATAGTCTCAGTACAGATATTAACTGATGATGCTCTGCAGATCTAACATTTAAATTGAGTTGTTGCAATAAAGATAATTACACAGAAGCTTATAATATAGTAAACAATAAAACCTTCAGCTTTTTGTTGTTTAGTCCATATATTAAAAATAAGTTTGTTCAAAAAATTACCAGCATATATGTGTTAGGCAAAAACACACTGGAGGCTAACACTTTGAAACATTAAAATGTTGGCTAATCTATCAGTCTATTGTATATTTATAATAGCTGATATAATGCTTCCAGGCTCATTGAAAGCAGTGAAAAATTTAAGCTCTGAGCCCAGGCTTATTTCTAAGGCCGCATTCACACCTGAACGACGGAACAGGTCACTTTTTTTGTCCATTTTCAAGTGTGCTTTTCATGTGACATCATAGTGAAGCCCATTTACTTGAATGGGCAGCCCTACATGTGAAAAACACTCCAAAATAGCGCAAGTACCTGTGTGAGCAAGTATCCTGTGTCTCATGCATCTCAATGTTTCATTTTCGATTTTCAGTTAAGTGTACATTGCAGGAGTCATGCCTGCAGACTTGTTCTGGGTCAATGGCCACAGTAATAAAGCAAGGACAGGGGTGGCAAATTTGAAGCTTGCAACTTTAAAAGTACGTTGGCTATAGGAGCTCTAATATTTCAATTCTGGCAGGTTCGCTTTCAGTAAAGCGTCCAGGCAAACAGCTAAATACACAAATGTGATACATAAAAGGGAACTCTTTCAAAGTATTTGTATTTCTGTCCATCTAGTTCCAAGATTTAAATAGTCCTACAACACAGCACAGCCCTGTCTGGCATGAAAAAAAAACACCTGATATTTTTCTGCTGCAGTTTAGTAACACTTACTGTAACCATCCTGTGATTGGACAGTGAAAAGAGAAGCAGCAGATTGATAGGCTTTCTGTCACTCTGCTCTCTCCTCCTAGTATGCTCCTTGTTAGCACTTGATTTGGCTTCTTGATCTATATTAATTTGTTTCTTTTGTATTTGCCTTGAGTTATTATTAATATACAGTATTTATGTAGCGCCAAAGGGTTTGCTCAGCGCTGTACAATAGCAAGGGGGACAGAACATGAGACAAGACAGAAACAATACAATACATGAGGGGTTCGAGGGCCCTGCTCTTTCGAGCTTACAATCTAGGAGGGAGGGGAAAGTGTTACAGGAGGAAATGGCTGTGGGGAATGGAGTGGTGGGAGGAGTGGAGGAGGTCAGTTGTTAGGTGAGGGTGGGGTAGGCTTCCCTGAATAGGTGGGTTTTCATTGTGCGCCTGAAGGTGAGGAGGGTAGGTGACCGTCTGATGGATTGGGGTAGGGAGTTCCAGAGGATGGAGGAAGTCTTGGAGAAATCCTGCAATCGGGCGTGGGAGGAGGAGATCAGGGAGCTAGAGAGAAGGAGGTCCTGTGAGGTCCTATGAGGAGCAAAGGGCACGGGTAGGGTAGTATTTGGGTATCAGGTCGGTTAGGTAGTTTGGGGCGGCATTGTGAATGGCTTTGTAGGTCAGAGTTAGTTTAATTCAGTTTGAATTTGATGCGCTGGGCAATCGGGAGCCAGTGAAGGGATTGGCAGAGGGGGGTGGCAGATGTGGAGCGGTTGGTGAGGTGGATGAGTCTGGCCGCTGAGTTCAGGATAGACTGGAGTGGGGATAGCGTTTGTTTGGGTAGGCCAGTGAGAAGGGAGTTGCAGTAGTCCAGGCGTGAGATGATGAGGGAGTGTACGAGTTGTTTAGTGGTGTCTGGGGGGTGAGGAATGTACGTATCTTGGAGATGTTGCGGAGGTGGAGCCTGCATGATCTTGATAGTAATTGGACGTGGGGTAGGAAAGAAAGGTTCGAGTTCAGGGTGACACCCAGGACTTTGACATGTGGGGTGGGAGTGATGGAGGCGTTCAAAGGTGGAGTTCACCTTTGAACCACACACTCATCCATCAGCAATATCTACCAGTGATCTGACTCTAGTGGAAAAATAATCATGTAAATAACACTTTAAAGTAACCATTGCAATATTAACTCAAAATATATGCTCATGGGGGCATGGCTACGATGTAAAGAGGAACAGACTGTGTTGAGCTCCTGGCATCCTGAAAAGAATATGGAAGTATACAACAGAAACTTGTTCCTTTTGTGCCTGATTTTACTCTGGAAAGAACTCCTTCCCGTGCCACAAGTGTAGAGGCCATTTAATGGTATCAATTCCTTCATCCTCCAGGAACTGTCTGCATACTTCCGCCACATGAGGCTGGACATTGTTGTGCACCAGGAGGAACCTAGGACCCACTGCACCAGCATACAGTCTGACAATGGGTCCAAGCATTTCATCCAGATACCTATTGGCAGTTAGGGTGCGATTGTCTAGCCTGTAGAGGTCTGTGCATCCCTCCATGGATATGCCTCCCCAGACCATCACTGACCCACTACCAAAATGATCATGCTGAATGATGTTACAGGCAGCATATTATTCTCCATGGCTTCTCCAGACCCTTTCATGTCTGTCGCATGTGCTCAGGGTAAACCTGCTCTCATATGTGAAAAGCACAGTGGCCGGACCTGCCAATTCTGGTGTTCAATGGCAAATAGCAATCGAGCTCTATGGTGCTGGCAGTGAGCAAAGGGCCCATTAGAGGACGTCGGGCACTCAGGACACCCTCATGAAGTCTGTTTCTGATTGTTTGGTCAGAGACATTCACAACAGTGGCCTGCTGGAGGTCATTTTGTAGGGCTCTGGCAGTCCTTATCCTGTTCCTCCTTGCAAAAAGGAGCAGATACTGGTCCTGCTGATGGGTTAAGCACTTTCTACGGCCCTGTCCAGCTCTCCTAGAGTAACTTCCTGCCTCTTGGGATCTCCTCCATGCTCTTGAGACTGTGCTGGGAGAAACAGCAAACCTTCTGGCAATGGCATGTATTGATGTGCCATCCTGGAGGAGATGGACTGCCTGTGCAACCTCTGTAGGATCCAGGTATCACTTCATGCTACCAGTAGTGATACTAACCCTAGCCAAATGCAAAACTAGTGAAAAACAATCAGAAAAGATGAGTAGGAAAAAAAATGTCAGTAGCCTCCACCTGTAAAGCCATTCCTGTTTTGGAGGTCATCTCATTGTTGCCCATCTAGTGCACCTGTTGTTAATTTCATTAACACCAAAGCAGATGAAGCTGATTAAATTAAGATCCCCCTCTGCTACTTAACTGACCAGATCAATATCCCAGGTGTTTAATTGACTTGATGCTACACTCTGATTAAAAAGTGTTTCTATAATTTTTGTGAGCAGTGTGTATGTGTAGTTTTATATATGTATATATATATATATATATATATATATATATATATATATATATATATATACACACACACAAACAGTATACAGATATATTCATATATATACATACACACATTCTAATGCAGGCCATGTCTTGACACAGGTCAACTATGTTTAACACAGCAAAAAGATAGCTAAATGGCTCTCTGCTATCCAATTAAACTTTTAAAGGAGGTTATTTGAAAGGTTACCTACAAAGGATTGTAAAATGCAGATTTGTGTGGTTAAGCATTTTAAAGGGTACATTGTTTACATATTTAAGGATGATAAAGAATGTGATTTGACCATATTTATTGATGGTAATTAGACTCAAGGAGATACTCATGGGAAATGGTGAAATTGTGACTTGTTTACCTGGTAAACACTATAGTGACTTTATTTGCTATTTACAGTGATGGCAAGTG